GATCTGGCCACCCTTCTACTACTCTAAGCTAGAATTCTCCTTTGAAAGTTCAGGTGTTTTATCCAAAGAAACTGGGCATACTGAGATATTTAAATGGTCACTCTGATATTACCAAGTTCGGCAGGAAATTTAGTGTTTGGTATCGGGTCTCTAAATAAGGTCAAGATCATATGTTCTGACTTTGTACCAGCATCATTTGACGGATCCCTTGAGCTCTCCTAAAGAGGAGACAATACTCACTCAGCTCCTCATGGGAAGAGACCAATGGAAGGGGCATGCTGGCCTTTTTCAGGCCTGGCCACCTAAATACTCAAGGTCTGGTGGGCATGTAAGACACTCAAAGCCAGGTGGGCATGTAAGAGGTAATTTAACTAGTGCTATGAATTATTTTATGACATCTTTATTAATCCAACATAGGAATTGACTTCTATATTGTTGATTCAAATGAAGAGCTCCTTTAAAAACAGAAACCGAACTAAACCAAAACAAAACAAACAAAACCAGTTTTTATATTCTCATTTTCCTCAAACCTGAGCTGAGACAAAAATCCACTTTGTAAATTTTAAACACTGACTTCTCACAGCAAGGGAAGAGGAGAAGATGCTTGAGGCATGGTCGAGACTGTAATTAACCTGGCATGGAGGGCGATACTTTGAATTCTAACTCATTCTTTTAGTGGTCTTGAGCAAATAACATTTCTATATTTCCCAGGGATTTTACAAATAAAACGCACAAAAATTATCTTAAAATAAAAAAAATGTAAATGTATTATATGACCATTAACTGCAACATTTTATTTTTATACTTTATGGAATCTACTTTAATAGCAGGTTCCAAGTTAAAATTCTCAGATTCTGTTGGGATGTGATGCCATTCAGGCTTTGCTTGGCCTCATGGAGTCTGCAGACTAGCAGAAATGCAAATAGATAAAGAGAATTTTTGGCACCAAGATTTGGTCTCTTTTTCTAAAAGCATTTTAATGTAGATATTAGAAATACAGAGTTGCTTCAGTGATCACGAATGTAAACTCTTTTCCGTGTGTGTGTGTGTGTGTGTGTGTGTGTGTGTGTGTGTGTGTGTGTGTGTATACACATGTGCCATCTGGTTTTTGTACACATTCATGTATGTTGAGTGCTGGTGCACATGTCACTCATGAAGAGGCCAGAGGACAACCTCAGCATGTGTCACAGAAAGAGTACGACAGCAAGGGACAGAGTGGGGAGGGTGGGGAAATAGACAGATGCCAATGAGAAAACAGAACCCAGAGAAAGCCACTTGATAACCCACATCGCCTTTCCCATTTCTCAGTGCTGCAGCTGCCGGGGAGGGGAGGGTCATGAGCGGCTTCCATTTCTTGAAGAGGCCTTGACAAAGGCTCAGCCCTATTTGTGTGGCTCTGGGCCTATGAGATCCAGCCAGGAGACCGGGCAGAAGGGAACCCTACCTAAACTGCAGAGAAAAGGGAAACCAGCCAGACAGACTGTACGGATTCTGTATATGCGCAGCTTGGGGTCTGCGCCTTATTATGTCATCAGTGGGCGACTGTGTCCCAGCCTAAAAGCTGTGCACCCCCACAGGCTCTCTCAGTCTCTGCCTGTCCTCCCTCCTTCCCTCCTTCCCTCCCTCCCTTCCTCCCCCCTTCCCACCCCCATCTCCTATCCTCTCTTCTCTCTAATAAAGCCCATTCTAACTCTGGTAACCATGGCTCTTGACTCCTCCGCTTGTGACTCTTCTGCCCCCAGCCAAACCAGTGCCCCCCGCAGCATCCAGCATCCAGTGCCCAGCGCCTACCAAACCAGTGCTCTATACCCTTTCAGAGACAAGGAGGGGGAAAACTTCCAAAACACGGGGAGGCCAGAGAGTTGTAGGCTGAGCCTGCCAAAAAAATCAAACTACGCCATGATAATAGAGGCCAAAAAGGGGTGACATAGTAAGTGCTGTGTGCATTAATTCTACAGAAACTGTCATTCAGAAAGTGGCATCTGTGTTCTAGAGTTCTAACAATTTGCCTGGCTCCCTTGGGTATGTGCAGTGATGGAGTTCTCTCTCCTTTCCTGGAACCTTTGGGATCCAGGGCTGTGCTACCAGTGTGCTCACTGATGAGCTGTCTTGGATGCTTTGAATTCATTGAACATATACTATGTGCCAGGCCTATTCTAATCCAGGAGGATAGAAAGTTGAGTAAAATGCAGACCATTTTTACTAAATGCTCCTCAGGCTGGGTGTGGAGGCACAAGCCTGTGCTCCCTACACTTGAGAGACAGAAAAAAATCGACCAGGAATTCAAGGCTAGCCTTGGCTATATTAGTGAGTTTGAAGCCAGCCTGGGCTATAGTAAGTGAGTTCAACATGGAATAGAAAGAAGGTGGGATTTAGAATACATGGGTTATGGCTCCTTTCTGTGGTTCTCTGGCCTTGGACTATTGCCATTCCAAAGAGCCACTTGACACCCTTTAGATTCAGTTTTCTGAGTCAGATAATAGAAACGTTTGAACTGCTTGCTCTAGATACTCAAGGATTTTTCCTGTTCCTTTGGTCAGATCCTACTGAGATTCTCCTTTGTCATGGTCTTTCTCAAAATACTAACTCAGATTGAATTTTTCTCAACCCAGTGCCCAGAGCTAGTTGGAAATTCAAGACACACGCATTTGTGAAAATATAAAGTGGAAAGAGACACTAACTGGCTATATCCAACTAAGTGGTGCACCATGGAAGAACTTGAGCTCTTTAAGCAGCCAGGCCTGGGTTCTCATATCAGCTCCATGTCTTAAAATGACTTAACTTTTAAATCAAAAATGAAATTTTCTATTTTACCATCTTTTCAGAATGGCTGTAAAGATTGAATGAGTAACATGTATGAAGGGGCTTGATGAATTAAAAGATACTTTATAAATGTTATTTATCATGGTTCTTACTTGGGATTTGGAAGTTTAAGATAATAATCATCCTTTAAAAAGATGAGTGATAGCATGAAATACATGAAATGAAGGAAGAGATACGGCTAGTTGAGAAACCAAGTAGGTACCATTTCAATGGTCCAGGCAGGGAAGATGAGGTCCAGGATAAAGGCCCTGAGAGTGGAAGGGAAGGTAGAGTCAGGTGCTATTTGGACAGTAGAACTAACAGCATAATGGCACTAGTTAGACAGGATGGATGGAAAGCATCAAAGAACCAAAGGTAAGGGCATTGGTAGGTAGTGATGCTCTGAATTACCCAGGCCACTGTTGCTTCTTAATTGCCAAAATCCAGAAAGGAAGATAAGAGGAAGCATCCCCAGCCTTGAGTTCCACTACCCAGACGCTCTCTGCCTCCGGTCACTCTTCACTTTTATTTCTTCCTTCCCTTCCTTCATAGTACCTTTAAGAACTCACTGCATCTTCAGTCAAGCATATGTCTTGTCCCCATATCCTCAGCTCGACCACAACCACTGTGAGTAGGTCCTATACCCAAGGAAACCATCTCAGTATTGACAGGAAGTCCAAGCAAACCTAAGCAGGAGTCTCTCTGCATCATGTTACACCAGCATCCCCTTCCCTCTGCTGCAACTGTGTTACATCCCTCAGTCCCTGGCTCATTTCTTCTTCCTCAGACATTAGAAAACATCTGGCAGAATATGGTCTTCATTTATGGGGATCACCTTGAATACAGTTTCTAGCTACACTTCTATACCACTACAGTAGCAAGGAGTAGCTGGACTGGAAGGGTGATGACTAGGAAAGTACTGGTAGAGGTAGTTTCTAGATAAGCCCAATAGCATGTGACTGGTTCTTTCCCAGCTGATAACCCATCCGATAAGATCTTTTTCTCTACAAAGGAATTGAGTACCACCCACATACTTTCTCTCTCCTTCCTTTTCCTCTATCTCTCTTATCTTCCTCCTCTCCATAGAGCTGTGTCTGTGTGTGTACATGCAAATGGAAGTCAGAGATAAACCTTGGGCATCAGTACTCGGGAGTCATCGACTTTATTGCTTGAGACAGGACCTGACATTGACCTTGAGCTAGGTTAGCTGGCCAGTGAGGGCTAGGAATCTACCTGAAGATAGCTAGACTTCTACATTCCCCCCATTTCTGGGGTTACAAGTGCATGTCACCATGCCTGGCTTTTTTACATGAGTTCTAGAGGGTCAAGCTAAGGGTCTCATGCTTGTACATCAATCACTTTGCCAATCAAACTATCACCCAATCTCTAAGATTTAGCCTTTTCCAAAATGTCATAGAATAGCTCTGTTCCTCTCTCTACCTGTCACTGGCTCTTCTTTACTCTTGACCATCACTTTAACTTTTCCTTCCTCTTACCATCCTCTGCTTTACCCACCTTCCCACTGTCTTTTTCCGGGAGCCATGTCCTATCTCATGCTTCTTCCCTTCTTATTTATTAAATAAATTGTCTATTAAATAAAATGGACAGCAGCCATCAGAAGCCCTTTAGTCCTTCATGTTATGTGTTGCTGGTCTCCAGTGGCATTCCCTGTTGAACACCACAGTATACTGGGCACCATGGCAGCACAGCTTCATGGTTTGACTTTGCATCCTTGCAAGTTACTTTACTTCTCCAAGCCTTAATTGCCTCCTCTGCAAATGGGAATGTTAACAGCATTGTGATAGAGCCTTGTGAGGGTTAGGTGAGCTGGTGGGCCTGAGACTGGCGAATATGCCTTAGTCACTTACAAAAGCATGAAGGGAGAGCAGTGTCTTTGAAGGATTCCATTATTGCTGAAGACATGGACTGAGGCATTCTGAAGCAGTTTGTCACATAACTAAAAAGAAGTTCCCTTTAGTGCAGAGCAAGCAGGGCTAAGGATGGGAGTCCTCTTGCCTGAGGTGGATGTGACTTCCTTCTGTAGAACACTAGAGGGAGATCATCTTGCAGCTTGGGTAAAAAGAAAGGAGATGAACGAAATGGGGTGAAAAGAAACTATCAAGTACTCGTTCTTGCTACAGTCTTTCTCATCATGGCATTGTGCAAATTCAGGGGATTGTCCTCCTTGTTGTCCACAGGGAATTTGCCAAAGAAAGAGAGAGAGTGGAGAACCGAAGAGCATTCATGAAGCTGCGGCGCCAGCAACAGATAGAGCGAGAATTGAATGGCTACCGTGCCTGGATAGACAAAGCAGGTAAGGCTTCATGTTAGGGGACTGGTGGGGAACTGCGCATGCGTAGTTGACTAACCCTGCCCAGTGATTCTAAGACTCCCATCCAATGGGCAACCTAAACTAGAGCAGAGAGAACCACTGAGAGCTCTGTGAGTGTTTAGGCCCCCCTTCTGTTTTGAGGTCTTCTAGGCTGATTCTCCCTCTTTTCAACTAAACACCTTCCACAAAGAAAGAGTGTTTTCAATCTGAACTCAGTCAAGGAGACCAAAATCCAATCCTGAGAAAAAGTCAGTCTGGTGATAGTTTATGCTTTGCCTCACCCTATGACTGATAATCCGTAGACTCAGCAAATACAGATTGAATGCCTGCTTTGTGCCAGCAACTCAGAGTACAGAGTTGAGCCAAACAGACCACCATGACTCCAAAGCTCATGTCTCTTGGAACTCATCCTTCTACCGCCGGGAAGGAAGCAATAAACAAAATAATTAATAACTCACAAGAAGATGATGAGTGCATTGGGGAAACAGATCAAGCGGGGTTGTGGGGAGAGGTGTGTTACAGCATCCCACAAAAAAGGTTCAGCATGAGCTTGTTGGTATAGAAACTTGGAGGAGATGAGAAATTAGCCTTGGGAAGAGCTGGGGGAGGAGAATTGTAATGCCGAGCCCTATTTAAGGGATTGGCCACTGCTGCTCCATCAGCAAAGGGGAGGGGAACGAGGTAGGGGTGGCAATCGACAGTATGAAGGCAGTCATAGGTAAGTCACAGCAGTTACGTGTGTGACCTGATAGGTCACGGGGCTTTCTAGTGAGCAGAGGTGCCATGACTTGGGACTTGAAGGGACATATGTTTGCAGCACTGCAATCAGACTATAGAGAACAGGGCCAGAGACAGGGACGAGATGAGGGTGGGACCCTTGCAGCTGTTCAGGCAGGAGATGGGAGTGGGGACAGGTGTTCGGTCATATGGTACCTGAGCCGTCTTGGCTGCTTGCTCATGGGGATAATTTGGGCCATAGGAATGGATCCAGACCTACCATGATGGTATTAATGCAGAGCCACCAGAGTCAAGGTGGCTCAGGTGCTTATGAGAGGCATCAATCACCTCGTATCTGACAATGAAAAGGAAGCATTTGCTTTTGTTATTATTTTAAAGACTGGATTGCATTGGTGTTTTCTATCTTTGTTTTCCTCCAGAGAAAAGAATGATTTTTTAATAATAATAATAATAATAATAATAATAATAATAATATAAAAACTTCCATGTGACAGTCAGCATCTTTCTCTATTCCTAACAGAAAGCCAACCACAAATGTGAAGTCACAATGGGACAATAAGGACCATGAGTTGATGCTTAATTCTGTGAGCCTTATTCTTCCATAGGAACTTAGCATGACCACTTAGTGTTACATTTAGTGTTCCACTTAGTGTGACCACCAACACTCCAAAGTACTCTTTATGCTCAGGAGTCACTTTTGGTTATCTATGAGAGCTGAGAAGGGATATAAAATGATTAAAAGCCAGACACATACTCCCTGTTTGGACATCTGCATTTCCTGTCACCCCTAGAGGCAGGAGCTGTGCTGTTAACTGGGTGTCCATTTCATCTCTTTTTCCTCTAAGCCTATTGAGTAGGGGTGAGGGGAATATAACCTCACCTCCTTCCCAGAATGGTAAGTCTGCCTTACCATGGGAAGGCAAGCTGAATTGCCTCCAGGCCAGACAGCCAGCTTGAAGTTTCCAACTGTCCTTGGCGTCCTCAGCAGTGGAACCATCTGACAAGCTGCTGAGTGAGCTGGCAGTAAACCCAGGAAGGACTTTACCCAGACCTGATCCTGACCCCACCCAGGGTCAGGTGCCATGGAGCGCTGTCCTTTTGCAGTATGCTTTTCCACACTTTGAAAGATGCCGACGTTTCCCTTGCTTCCAGTAGCCACCCCTGTCCCCCTTCTAAGAAGAAAGACACACTGCAAAGTCAGTTTGTGCTTCCTAGCCCTTCCCTTTGCAAGTGGAGCATGAGTGAATCAGAGACATATGGGTTACATTTCCCTGGAAAGACACTCAAGTTCGAAAGCAAAGTTGGCAAAAGGCATTGGTGGGGGAAGGGTGGTTTTAGCACATCCAGAGCCCTTGAAGTGCTTCTCAGAAATCCTCAGCAGCCATACACATCTTCTGTCTGCCTAGGGAGCTCTCAGATCTGCCCATTTCAAAGTCAGGCACTGTGATAGCAAAAGTGACTTGTGGCTAAGGTAATTAGGTTTGCTATGAGATAGTTTATCAGGGACTTAATTTGACAATGATACTCGACAAATGTGCTATAAAGTGTCTCAAAAACCGTGCTTGTCTTCATGAAGGAGCACCTCACCTGCAACACTTGACCTGTTAATGTGGAATTTCACCAGAGGCTGTACTTGAAGACCTAAGCTAAACATTTATGATGTGCTGTAATGGCTGTCCTGCATAGTAGTTCCCGAACCTCAAAATGTTCCCTGGGAAACACATTCTATACGCTCTCAATTTTATATTCAGGTAGAATTACACTAATGGCCTTACCCTTTCCTACTTGTCTATAAGCGCTTGTCTCCTTGTTATAAGTACTTAAATTAAACCATTGTTTTAATAAGGTCTGCTGCAAGCTTTCCCGCAATAGCTTGAATCTTTGGAAATGATTCAAAGCTTTCTCTATGGGCTACAGTAGGGTTGAGATCAAAACCTAACTCCATCGCTCTTAGAGGGGCACCTTGGAACCCAGAACACATAGGAGAGAAAGGCTGTTTTGTTGGTACCTTTGACAGGGATGCTGGTGAGGTTTACTCATATAAGTCTTAGTAGAAATAATACTCATTAGTTGATGACACATCACTGAAATACAGGACTGCTCCTGAAGAGAGGGAGCCTGGGAAAAGAGGCTCTAGGGGTCATGTGATATTTTTTTACATACCAGCAAAGGATTGCATGTTCTGGCAACAATGGGTCCTTAATTCACTGGCACCTGCTGTGCATTCAAGAATCAATTCTGACACTGAACATCACCCGAAGGTAGCACATACCCTACAGGTTAAAGCCTGAGTCCCATAAGGCTATCCCCACTTTAGAAAATGGGAAGTGGGATCCCAGATGGGCCCCAGCTCTGCTTGGCCAAATATACATTTAGAAATTCTTACAACCCCTTCCTCTTATTAATTAATTCAATGAGCTTTTTTAAAGAATAACCTCTGGACATCAGGAAAGGGATACTTACTGCTTACTCTAAAGGACACAACTCAGAAACAGTATAGGTCATGGATGCCCAGGATAACATATAGGGTGAGGCTCACCAGCCTCCAAGCACACAAAAGTGTTTACTAAACCAGAAACCCTCAAAGGCCATTCTTTGGGAAGTTGGTGGAGATTTCCTTACAAGGGCATGTCATATTAAACTCTTGGTCATTGGTAATAGCACTGTGGCTCCAGGCTTTCTCTTTCTCAAAGGTAGGAATGGAATATAAAAATTTTACCTCTCTGATCATGTGGTTGGGTTTTTTTGGCTACCAGCTCCTATCCTTAAGTTATCCAGAACCCTTTCCTGCCATGAGTCATCTCATTAGCATACAAAAGACATCTCTGTGCCAGGAACCAGACAAAAATCCACATGTGTGTATATTTATAATTTTTTATTATACCATAGGGGCAGATTCAGAGTGTGCCCACACCTCTTTAGCTCAAGCAGTGTTCAACCAAGACAGGGCAGAGTTGGTGGGGACATAAAGACATACCTTAAGCCCTGCCTTTTCTCTGGGGACCCTTGGGCTCTTCCCTTGTCCCTTCCATAGAGTCATGAATATGTGTAAGTCAAAACATGGCCTCACTTCCTGATGAGGGGCCTAATGCTGTGCCTGGGAGAAAGGAAGAGGAAGAACTTTCTGAGGGGTTAGGAAAGAAACCTGGGTAGAAAAACTAGAAATAGAATGTTTTCACTCTTATAAACTTAGGGGATTTTAACAAAACAAAAAAAAAAATACCACTCCTTCCTCCCTCCATGGGGTATCAGTTGTAGTAGCCCTGAACTTTGGCAGCTTCCCTCATGAGCCCCTCCCTATACACCCTCCTTGTTCTGAGCAGCCTGTGTTCCTGGTGAGGCTCAATTTCTCTCCATGCTGGTGCCCACGATGAGTTCTGAACTCTTTTTATTCTCTCTATGTTGCCTTAAGTCAGAGCTGTCCCTGGGGGATTTTCATTTCGCACAATAATTCGGCGTTTACAGATAATTTACTAAACCATTTGTTTCCATACAGAGGAAGTCATGCTTGCCGAGGAAAATAAAAACGCTGGAACGTCAGCCTTGGAAGGTAAGGAAGCGCTGCTAGCTCTGCTTTGTTAGCGTTTGCCCTCTTAGGCGGTGGCAATCTCTCTTGATCAAAGAGGAGAAAGGAAGAAGAGGGGGGCGCACTGGGGTTTGAAACACAAGTCTCTCTGTAATAAAATCCCTCATGCTTTAAAACGTTGAGAATTGAGTCACAGATTTAAATGCCTTTTAAAATGATGGAAATGAAACCCAAGAGTTGCATTGTTCCAGGGCATGTGATTGATAGAGTTCCATGAAAAGCCCATCGTACAACTGATGGTCTAGGAAGGGATCTTCTTTTAAAATGTGTGGGGATCATCTTGGGACCACTTTCATTACCGGGAAGTGCCATTATTTATGAAGAGCCAGAACAACTAGATAAGGAGTGTCTGTTTACCTACTGCGTTTAGATTTAGATAAACTCCAACTGGGAATCAAAACCTATGAGCATCTGCAGGTGCTGGCAAACACAGCATTGCCTGCCATTCTGTAGACTTCAGATTCTTATCACCCTGGTTCCAGTATTAAAGGCCAACACCTATGTCACAGGGCCCTTGCACAAGGCCTCTTGCCCACAGCCCTCAAAGTTTTGTCCAGGATGATCTGGGTGTACTTATGGCCTCTCACTGGCCTTCCCCTTCCCTGGCGTAGTGCTTCGAAGGGCAACCATCAAAAGGAGCCGGACGGAGGCCATGACCCGAGACTCCAGCGATGAGCACTGCGTTGATATCTCTTCTGTGGGTGAGTGATCCAGTTAGATCTTCTTTTACTTCTCTGGATCTCCCATGAAAATGAAGATCCTGTCTTTTGAGAAGAACCACAAGGAGGAAAAAGAACCCAAAGGATCCAGAATTTAGGGATATAATTAAGGGAAGGCATGGGAATCTAACCTAGCTGACAATGATTTTCAGAAAAGACAAAAGGACCAGGGGATGCCGTGTACATGAAACTCGGGGCTTAGGGTTCTTCAAGTGTGACAGATGGATCTCATTTGCAGATGTATCCTTTCTCTCCTGGGTGTGACAGTGAGAACCCACGTTGGGATACAGGTTGAGTATCCCTAATCTAAAAATCCAAAATCTGAGCTGCTCTAGAATTAGACATTAAAAAAAAAAAAAAACAAAAAAACAAAAAAACAATGCTGTGGCATCACACACAAGTGGAAAATTCCACACCGTGAAACTTGGGTTTCTCCCACAAAATTATTTAAAATATTGTATAAAACTACCTCCAGCCTATGCATATAAGATATATCTGAAACATAAGTGGATTTTATTTGTAGACATGGATCCCACTTCCAAGATACTTTATCATGTGCAGCCGATAGTGTCATCACTAAAATAATAACCTGAAATCTGAACTGTGTCTGGTCCATATATTTTGGATAAGGGATACTCAACCCATATTTTTCAAGGATCCTCAGGACCTATTTCTTCTAGTGACCCACACGGGAGAACTTGAAGCCATTTGCTTAACCAGAGTAGCACCAATCTACTTCCATCATGTGAAACTTAAACTAATTCCTTTTGACAACGCACTGATATGACGACAGTTCAATCCTAGGTTCTCTTACAGATTCTGGTTCTTGACAGGTTTTTTCCTCCCCAGAAAAAGGGCAGGATCTCTCACTCCATCCTAAAAAGCAGAAGAGACTTACAAAGCCCATTGCTGCTTTATGTTGCCAGTGGCAGAAATATCTCAAATGCAGCAGAAGGATTCCGGTGTCTGAAGCCTATTTAAAGGAAAGGGCAGAGAGAAGCCCAGTCTCTTACAGATATAAACACGATCCTGTTAGGATTCAAGATGCTGGGTGTCTGCCTGGTGTCCTGCTTGGGAATCTTTCAGTTTCCTAGGACTTGAGAGTGCCTGGAGAGCAAAAGCAGGGTCTCTCCCTGTGGAGATTACTTAGCCCATAACATAGGGGTTGCCCAGGTCTGCAATGTGACGGTCACCTTGTCCTGGTACTCAAGCTGTCCAACTTGCCCCGTGGATGCCACCTGATCGTGGAAGAGAAGCCTGGGATATTTTGTAGTCTCATTCCTCCTCATTTCCCTTCCTTAGGCACACCTCTTGCCAGAGCCAGTATCAAGAGCACAAAGGTAGATGGAGCTTCCTATTTCCGGCACAAGGAACGGCTTCTGCGCATCTCTATCCGCCACATGGTCAAATCCCAAGTGTTTTATTGGATTGTCCTGAGTGTTGTGGCTCTCAATACTGCCTGTGTGGCCATTGTTCATCACAACCAGCCCCAGTGGCTCACTCACCTCCTCTGTAAGTGAACAGCAACTGCTGTCCTCTCATGTGGGTGGCTTGGTTTTGTGTAAGAATGACTGAAAGGACCAAAGGCTTTGCTAACTGTACACACTGAAGGAAGCTAAAATGGCTGCAAAGGGGGATGGATCATCACACAGCTGCCCCTAGCCTTCCTTAGCTGCTGGGTAAATGATCACTGCTGGTCAGTTAATGTGTCAGTGTTGGATCTTGGGTGCTAGAAGTTTCTTATGGGGGTTCAGTGGTGTAAAGAATGGGAATCAGTGAGAGCTGGGGAGGAAGTCCAGAGAACAATGGATATATCAAATGGATCAAAAAAGGAACATATAAGTCAGCTCTGAACATGACTGCCTCTGGGTGTCAGTGATGGCCTGGAGACTGATGAATGGAGGTATAGATGAGGATACCTAGTTTAAGTCAAGCCACAGCAGAGACCTTCTCTGAGGGTCACCCTCTACTTAAAGGCTAACATAAGCCTCCTCCTAATGCTAAAGGCCAACTATTTGTTGGGCTAGGGGCTCATCCCAGCTCAGAGTGCTCAGAAATTTTGTTTTGCCCAATGCTGACTTCTTACATGCTGAGATCTGGGGCTCCTTCATAAGGGGGGGTTGCATTAGTTGGAGGGCAAAAGAGCTCATACCATCTGTGGAGCAAATGATACTACTTTGACTACTTTCAGACTATGCAGAATTTTTGTTTCTGGGACTTTTCCTGTTGGAGATGTCCCTGAAGATGTATGGCATGGGGCCACGCCTTTATTTCCACTCTTCATTCAACTGCTTTGATTTTGGGGTAAGTCCTCGGAAAGCCTGCTTGTCTTTCTGTTTCATGTTGATAGGCCATGGTTTTAGATAAGCAGCTTGGTCTGCCACTCGGCATGAGTCATTGAAGTCAGACATTGTAAAAGGAGCATGTGTATGATGAGATAAAGGGAGTTCAGAAGTGAATGAATCCTTGCTGGACAAGGATTTGTTTGTTTTTTTAAACCTCTTTGAGTTTCAATGTTGTTATTGATGCATAACACATATACTCAAGAGTGTACATTTAACTATATAGCTCAATGAGATTTTTCACAAAGCTACACATAGCCATAATTTTGAACCACTTATTATCTTGGGTGAAGTCTGGGAGAGAAGGACAAAGGACTTAATTCTAGAGGTGGCTTTAGAAGAAAGAGGTTATACACTTGTTTATTTTCTACTTCAGTTGAAAAGGAACATAATTGTCTAGATAATGCCCTCATATGAACTCACACTCTTGTATTATCATGACTCCATGCAGAACATTCCACCTAGCTGTTTACCTTCTGTACAATATTTAGGTGTGTGTCTTGTTAGCAGTGTTCAAGGTGCATTTATGCACATTTATTTCCTGCACTGCTTACCGGAGTCCTGTACATGATACAAGGTGTTGGGGGTTAGCCTGCTCTCTACACATAAGGTGACAGACACCACAATGCTCCGTTCACATACCTGAATTACATTGGAGCAGAGTAGCAGGACCTTCGGATTCTCAGCCACCTCTCTTTCTGCCAAACCCATTCCCTTCTCTGCCAAAGCTCCAGTCAGGTGATAAAGATTCTGAGCACTTGCCAATCTACATTTTTACCAAGAACATACGGTTCTGAGTACAGGCAATTTTCAGGCATAATAGCTAGTGAGAGACCGTTTTAACCTTGATTTTCTCATATACATATTTTTCAGCATTGCTTTGAAGGCTCATTTTCATTATTTCTCCCAGCACAATGTCTACAACATAGTCAACATTCCATAAATGTATAATCACAAAATAACTCAAAGCTAGCCATACTGGCATGCCCCAATACTCAGGATGCTGAAGCCAAAAAAAACTCACACAAATTATAAGGTGGCCTGAGCTATATAGTGAACCTCTGTTTCAGAAGGCGAAAGTTGTGTGTAGGGGGGTGGTTAAGATGGCTTAGTGGTTAAGGGTGCTCACTGTTCTGTCAAGGAACTCCAGTTAGTGTCCAGCACGTGTAAGACAGCTCACAGTCACCTAGAACTCTAGCTCCAGGAGGACCCCAAAGTTCTGGCCTCTAGGTCACCTGCACTCACATGCACACCTACACATACACATAATTAAAAATAATAAAGATAATTCCAAAAAAGCAGACGTTGAGGCTGTGATGTTGATAGACCACTTGCCTAGCACATGCAAAGAAGGCCCTGGATTCTGTTCCAGTTCCCATAAACAACAACAATCTTGAAATGTTAATTGCAATTATGACTTCTTACAGCAATCAAGACCCTATGTCAACAAAGATACTATTACATTGAGGATTATACAGGGCCACATTCCTTGAAAGATATTTAACACAACAGTGCTAAAATGTTCTCGGCTGTGCTACAGTCTAGAATGAGAGAATGTGGGCACTTTCTGATATTTTAATATTGGAACACAACCTTGACTAACTCAAACTGGTTTCTATGATTTGGGTACTATTCCTTTGTCTGCCTATATAAGGTGATACGAAGCAAGAACATCCATTGCTATCAAATTTGTGTAAAAGCAGTGACTACGGATTGTAATTTCGTGAAGGCCAAGTCAGTAAACCAATGCCTAGTGAGGTGATTTAAAGTTAGGAAGGAGAGGGAAAACAGTGAGGGGTTGGTGGTCCAGTATTGTTCTTCTTTGGTAGCTTCTCAAGTATGTAGTTTGATTAGAGGTAGGGCTGGCTGGGGAGAGAGAGTCTCCATTTCACCAGAGCCCAATAAGAGCTGATGATAATGTACTAGGTACTAAGATGCTCTGTCTTCTCTTTCTGTCTTCTCACTGTGGCTGGGCTTGTCTCTTAGGTCACAGTGGGCAGCATCTTTGAGGTGGTCTGGGCAATCTTCAGACCTGGTACATCTTTTGGAATCAGTGTCTTACGAGCTCTCCGCCTCCTGAGGATATTTAAAATAACCAAGTAAGTGACGACATCCGGGACTCTCCCTACCACCTTTGAGGATGGAACTCTTAGCTGCTTCTCTTCCTTGCTTCCCCCTTCCTGCTCCATCTCTCAAATTCTTCAGATCTCCCTTCTCTAAAGACCAAACTAGAAAACTATCAATGACAAAACATGGAGCGACACATTTCCCAGGGGAGGATCACACTGCCACCACCTCATCTTCACGGATATACAAAGGCAGTCTATCTCAAGCGTGTAGGCAGATGGCAAGCTTGGTACTGTGTCAACAACTATAACCTTGTCCGGGTTTCACAGGTATTGGGCATCCCTCCGGAATCTGGTTGTCTCCTTGATGAGCTCCATGAAGTCTATCATCAGCTTGCTCTTCCTCCTCTTCCTCTTCATCGTTGTCTTCGCTCTCCTAGGAATGCAGCTCTTTGGAGGCAGGTAAGGGCCGGGGGTGACTTTCCATCCAAAGGAAGCTCTGATTAGCCTCAGGCCTGGAAGTACCAAGGTGATTGATTTGGTTTGTTAGCATCTTGTTTGCTCTTGGTCTGAATAGTTTGTAGATGCACTTGAGAATCAAATCTCTCTGTTGTTATTACATATACTGGCAAGGGTTCCTGTGGGAGGGCCTGTCCTTTTGAAGTTCTCTGTGGCATGATCAGCGTGGGGCCTCATAACTACTGACCAGCCCAAACTCTGTCTTATAACTTGTGCCTTACAAAGCTCATTGTTCTTTTTTCAGAAATGGGGGCTACCATCTTCATAGAGCATATGGGATGGAGAGCAGTCGGGGGGAGGGATGAGGAGACAAGAAGGAAAAAGAGATGAAAACTGCAATCTTGGGCTTGGGAAACTTGGTACATGATATTTTTATTCTCCCTGAATGTCCTTTTCAGGTTTAACTTTAATGATGGGACTCCTTCGGCTAATTTTGACACCTTCCCTGCGGCTATCATGACAGTGTTCCAGGTATGAGGGCCACTGATAGCTCAGAAGAGCAAGGCGGGGGCCCATAGACCTCATAGGGTAACAAGGCAGCATCTTAAGTGTTAGGGCTCCTGTTTTGAGAAGAGGGAAGTATGCCTCCTTCTCTTGGGCAATGTTTGGGCAATCATTACAGCAATCCCTCAAACTCCTGTGTCTCTGTCACCACCAGCAAAAGGGTTCTATGACAATCACCTCGTTGCTCTTCTCCCCATACCTGTGAATTTGTGAGACAACAAGTCTGGGACATGCAGTCACAAATCACATTTGTGATTTGTCTAAAATCTGGAGTATTTCCTCACCTGTATTTAGTTTGAGATAATGGGATATCTTTCCCCTGCCATCTCAAAATAGAACAATTAAAAAAAAACTTTTTTTAACTCATAAAAAAAACTCATTATCAATAGTGTTTTAGAATTGTATAGCTGAGCAAAAATGCTACTTAGGCAGAATCTGAGGCTGAAGCAGAACCCGGTTTCCAAACCAGAACCATCGAGGCTTTCCCAGTCATGCTGCTGTCTTAGGGATGATGTGTTGTCACCCCTGGAAACAATCAAGTAGTGATCAGACCACCAGATCCATGTGATTCCCACAAGGACTGGCCAACCTGGGGGTGGGAGGGACTCTGAAATGTGATGAGCAGGGGTATTTCATGTTGCTCTCTTTTCATGTTGAATGTCTATAGTTCTCTTCCATATAAAAATAGGATTACTTATAGGAGTGGCTTTCTCCCTATCTTAGCAGGAAGTCAAGGAAGGGGATAGATGGAAGAGCTCCATCTCTGGAATCTAGACCTTTACATTGGCCCCATCTTTTCTGCCAGCCCAGAGTCTTGACCTTCCCTGTTGTTTGCTCCACAGATCCTGACAGGGGAAGACTGGAATGAGGTGATGTACAACGGCATCCGCTCCCAGGGTGGGGTCAGCTCAGGCATGTGGTCTGCCATCTACTTCATCGTGCTCACCTTGTTTGGAAACTGTATCCTCCTAAGGTGTTCTTCTGTAGTCTGGCCACTTCCCTGTACCAGCATTCGAGGAGATGATGGAGTGGTCGTGATCGTGGTCGTGGTGGTGATGTGGTGGTGATGTGATGGTGGTGGTGGTGGTGGTGGTGGTGGTGGTGGTGGTGGTGGTAGTGGTGGTGATGGTGATGGTGGTGGTGATGATGTGGTGGTGGTGGTGGTGATGTGGTGGTGGTGGTGATATGGTGGTGGTGGTGATGGTGATGGTGGTGATAGGCCTTGGTTAGGCAAGGTGAGAGCTCATAGGCAATGCTTGCTCATACTAAAGGAAACAAGATTTTCATCTTAAAGATTTTGTATGCTAAGTCTGTGAAGAATATGAGCATTAAAGAGATGCAATTGCCTAAATCTACAATATACAAATCAAACCATGTAATGCTAATATGTTGAATGGTTGGAGATACTATGAGGTGTGTAAAATATGCAAGGCCTGAGATCATTGTATACTGAAATAGTGGGCAGATCATAATACTAGTGAATTAATTACATATTTATAAATAGCAGAACCTACCATGTCATAAAATTCAAAATAAATATAGGTACCAAAATTAGTAGTAATACCATTAAGTATTTGTAGTTATTGTATTGATGTTATGTGTGGAACTTTTTTTGATAGCTAGACACTGCTTCTCCTACTTCTTACTTGCAAGACAAAAGAAAATACTAGATCACATCATGTCAATACAAAACTATAAAGGAATGCTAACAATGAAATTCGATAACTCCAAATCCTATACCTCATGTTCTGTTGCTGAGGGGAAAATACCCCAACAAAAAGCAACCTGGAGGGGGAGGGGCAAAGTGGTTACTTTAGCTCATGGCTCCAGGATAATGGTCCATCATCGTGAGGAACCCATTGCATTCAACAGAGACTCCAGGCAGTTCTTCACAGCACGCAGTCAAGTGCAGAAGGACAAGTTACAGCCCAGTTAAAGCTACTGCTGCTTTCACTTCTCTGCTATGATAGCTTGTAACCTGGCTTTGGGAGAGAAAATAAACCCACTTTTGTAGCAGTATTTCCTCGCCAACAGGAACAAGATTAAGACACTGGTCAAAAAAAAAAAAAAAAAAAAAAAAAAAAAAAAAAAAAAAAAAAGATCCAGAGCAGGAAGATGGAGGTTTTAACACTCTTTAGTCACTAGTTGTGTGGTCTTCAGAAAAATCATCTGCTGTCTCGGAGATTGTTTCCACATTTCAAAAGAAGATAGTGATAACTTCTTTACTAATTGCAAGCATTGAATGAAGTAATTATTAAATGCATTTTATAAACTGTGAATATTTGTGTAGCTGTGAGGTACCTGGGGGAGTGGAACTCATCTTGAATTGGATTGTAGAGCACAGAGGGGGGATTCTAAGGCCACTGAATTTTTGCATAGAGCCTTACAAAGAAGATACGCTCTTTTCGGCCTTTGTCCTGAGAACGCCTAATGATTGGAACAGACCATAAACTAGATGTGCTCACATGCGTAAGAAGAAGCTTTCTGATAAGGAACAGAAAAGGAGGGCCAGTTTGTCACAATGACGGCCTTGATTTTCCTGCTGCTCTGTAAGTAGCCAGGGGCATCCTCTTGTGCTAGAATTCGTCTCATCTTCCACCACATATGAGCCTCAAACATAGAAGATTGGGACCTTGGGAGTTAGAGTACATAATAGAAGTGGATTTCCCAATGAATCCTGTCCATGCTGTGACATTTGCCATGTGAATATTGGAAGCTCCCTGGGACCTTAACAAGGATGAGAGAAGCAAGTCGGCACCCCCTTGTAGAACACTACTGCTCTCACTTCCTTCTGTTTTTGAGGGAAGGGTAGCAGGGTGCCCACTGGTCTAACTGAGAGTCCATCCTTCCAGGAGGGAGAGAGAAACACTGGCACTCAGCTCCCTGCATATCTTGTTCAATGAGCTTTTGTTGTCTATTGCCAGTCATTGAGGCCTTAGCTGTCTGAAGGTTTACTCACACATTTGCCCTTCCAAATGGTTTGATTTAGGAATTGTTTTTGTTCTATGTAAAGAGGCAATATGTGGAAAAAAGAAAGACATAATACCTCCTTTCTTCTCTTGTGGCCCTTGGCTGCTGTTCCCAGTATTCAGGCAGAAATGTCCTGGAGGGGACCTCTCAGACTTGCTAAAGCCTTTTACTGTTCTTGCCTGCCCATCCTTAACCCATACCCACAGACACACTGCTGAACGTATTCTTGGCCATCGCTGTGGACAATTTGGCCAATGCCCAAGAATTGACCAAGGTAAGCACTATCTTCAAGAGAGCCATCTTCTGGAAGCTTTTAGATGGTTGGAGAGCCCCACACCCATGCAGAAGGCCTGGTTTACTTTCACTGAGTCTGCTGAACTTTGGTTCAGCATGGGTCTCTTGTGGGATATAGGAGATATCAGCATATCTCTGTGAGCCCTCACATGGGTCCTTCTCAGAATTACAGAATGCAGAACCAAGGAAGGTAGTAGAACTCTAGGTTTTAAGCTCTACCTCTGCTACTACAACCTGGGCCAGTATGACCTCAGCTATGTGACCACATCCTCAAGGGCTTGGGTGTGAGAGTGGTCGGGGGCATTGGGGCTCCTGCACTAAGGCTACTGGGGTAACCCATTGGCTATGATCATTCTAGAAAAGTTTCTATGAAGTCAGATACTCCCATTCTCAAAGAGATATCCCTGTCTTTCATGGAATTCTCCACTCCTGGGGGAGGAGACAGTATTAATTGCAGTGAGGTGGTCCATGAAATGGGTAAAAATTCTTGCCACACAATGCAAATTTAGTTTTAGAAAGGTACACAACATCTTGAGGTCTTTCTGAACTTTTCTCATTGGATCTGCCATGTGTTGCTTCCTCTCCCCAAATCCCTTAAAACCCTCATCTCTATAATATGGGAAAGAAAATATGCACTTTAGTACATGAAAAACTGGGTTTGAATCCTACATCTTTCCATTACTGGCTGGTTTAGCTTTGGTGAAAGTACGGATCTCCATTAATACCAGTTTTCTCAGATGTAAGATGAAAAAGACACATCTGCCTATCTGTCTCACAGTATCACAGCAGAGTTCAAATGAAATACTGTGTGTGGAAACCATAGTATGCTAGGCACGTAATGTATATTATAATACTTCTACCAACTACCTGGACATGTTTCCTTGGTGTTATCAGTTCAAGCAAGAATATAGCTGAGGTGGTGCTGGAGAGATGGCTCAGCAGTGAAAAGTGTTCACACTCTTCCAGAGGGCCCCCCATGTTAGCCATGAGCACTGTATGGAGTGGCTCACGACTGCTTATAACTCCAGTTCCAGGGGAATGCAACGTCTTCTTCTGGCTTCCATGGGACAAAGCGTGCACGCGCGCGCGCGCGCGAACACACACACACACACACACACACACACAGTCTGCCTGCCTGCCTGTCTGTCTGTCTGTCTCTCTTTCTCTATCTCTCTGTGTCTTCCTCTCTTTTAAAACACCTGAAAACTGTGGATGAAGAAATGAGACCTCTACCTAGGAGCCCCTACGCCATATAGGGTTTGCCACTTCCTTTTACTGACCTCATCTTGCCTGGTCTTCAGAGTTTCTGGGGAGGGTAGAAGGAAGCTACTCTCCATAGGGCAATCCAGGTAAACTATCTCTGCTTTGTGTCTAGGATGAACAGGAGGAGGAAGAAGCCTTCAACCAGAAGCATGCACTGCAGAAAGCCAAGGAGGTTAGCCCGATGTCTGCACCCAACATGCCTTCTATTGAGTGAGTAGGCCATCCAAACGCTGACCCTGGGCTTCTGGGGCTAAACCTAACTCATCAATGCCCACAATAATCAGTTATAGGAAGGCATCTCCTCTGTTCCATGGACTGTTCATAGTACATAGTGCACTGTTATAGGGCAGGTAATAAGAATAGTGTGTGTGTGTGTGTGTGTGTGTGTGTGTGTGTGTGTGTGTGTGTGTTGTGGAAGCACTAATCAGATAAATCCAAGAGGCACCCTCTGTGTAAATAGAAACCTAAACATACAGAAGGCAGTTTTGTGGTGTTCTGAAGGAACTATCGCTCAGCAAGGTCCAATGTGTCTTATAGAGACCAAGTGGGATAGAATATACTGAGACCAGCTGGTGCAGAGGTCCTAACCCCCAGGTAGAGGATTTAGCATTTATTCAAACTTAAATCATGGGAATACTTAACATAGAAGGATGCAGCATATGGTTTCCATAAGGTATCACTCTGCTTCATGGAAAATGGGCTGTGGGACCCCATCATGGAAGCTATGAGATGCAGCTGGCGGTTAGCAAAGTGGGTGTTGATGAATTAGACAAGGAGAGTAGCCACAGAGGGGTGACAGTGCCACTCAGGCTATATTTTGGAATGTGAGGCAATGGGATACATTCATGGATTAAATGTAGTAGGGGAAAAGATAAAGAAGAGAGAAGAAATTTAAAAAATCACCAGTTTTATAGTTTTGGGACCTCAACAGCTGCACAGAGGGTGGGAGCATTTGTTGGTACTTCAGAGGTAGCGGAAATCCAGAGTTCATTTTGGCCACATTGAATGTGAAATGTTTCTAAGGCATCCAAGTGTGTGAATAGGCTATTGGTTACACGAGTGTGGAGCGTAGAAGAGAAGTTGGGATTAAAATAAAGATTTGGGGGAAGTCATTTGCATTTAGATGGTATTTAAGCCATCAGTGTGGGTGAGATGACCCAGGAAGAGTGGGGACAGGGAAAGAGTGGAGCTGAGGACAGAGGCTGAGCATGCGCTTCTCTGGCAGAGGAGAAGCTGGGAAAAGAGACAAGGGACTGTAGCCAGGGGACAAGAGAGGGACAGAGGAGCTTGATGTCCTAGAAGCATATATCAGACTAGCACTGTATGCTATTGAAGGACTACCCCCTCCGATGGGGACAGAGAAAGGACACTGGATTTAGTCCTTTCTCTGGACCAAAACAGAAGCTATTTTAGTGGCTTGTCTAGAAGCTTGGTAGAAACAGCGTCCAGATGGAATAGATTTGAGAGTGAATGGGAGGTTGATATGGAGGGGAGCTAGGATCACTCTCCCAGGGTCCAGCCTCGATCTGCGCTCCTTGAGAAATCTTGGGGAGTCAGTATGGCCCTGCACAGGCCTGGCCTCTGCACCATAAAGAGGGGCAGTTGGTGGAAGAGAACCACAGAATTCCTGATGATAATCAGGGCATGCAGGAGGCCTGCGTGAGGGGTCCTGTCATATCTGTGGGGACAGTGGCAACCCACTGAGAAACAAAACTATATCCTGAGCTATTGGCCCCTGTCAACCATTACTTAAAAGTCCAGTCTTAATGGGAGGGAGGACCTTCTGAGCAGCCGTTCTCCCTCACCCATTTGGATGCTTCCCATTCTATGAGGTGCCTCCTTCATCTATTTTACTGTTGGTTTGCACTTGCTTCCTGAAGCTGTGGAGGCTTGGCTACTAAGTCCCTTTTCCGTGAGTCCGACCAAAACAGAAATCATTAAAGATTGATTGGGGAATACCAAACAACTCCTTCCTCTTCAGAATTGTCACTGGTTTTGAGTCACTGCTACCCTGCTCCCCTGAACTCATACATTTTGGCTAAAACCACATACACACAGGTATCCAAAAATGCAGATGGATAGGACTTGCTGCCGCCGGGAGTGGGTGGCTCTATTTACTGAGCTGAGGAAGCTTGGGGGAGAAGAGGGTTTGGAGGGATGTGATTGGGAATGCTGATTGGCCCAGAGTAGAAACTATTTATGGAGTGGAAGAATGAATGAAATGTGGGTAGACACAGGGCTGTGGGAATTGAGCAGTGAACATCAGTGCAGAATGGAGGTGAAATAGGTGCTGCAAACAGCCCCAGTAAGATGACACCAGGGCTTTGGTTGCTGTTCCTATGCCATGTGGTGTGTACTGCTGCTAGGAGTGAGCTCAGGAGCTGTGTGCCTTGCTCAGGCGTGCAGCTCAGCAGCTGATTTCTGGTAAGCACAGATGCGGCTGCTATAGATAACCATGGAACGAGCATCAGCACAAACCCAAGTGTCCCAGTAGTAGCCCTGATTCTGTCAATAACATGCTCTGTGGCCTTAAAGAGAACCACTTAGGATCTCGGAGCCTCTGTTTGCCCATGTTTGGAATGGGAAGAAGGACTCCTGCTCTTCCTGCTTCACACGGCTATTGTGGGGTATACACAGACACGTGCACATGAGTTGGACTTAATGGCTACTTCTCTTTGTGGTTTTGGAGTATGACTGCAAATTTGGCATATTACCTATATGAGTAGAGAGGTGAAGTCAAGTGTCAAGTGCATGACTGCCTGTATGACAAAGATTAGTTTATCTTTTGCTTGGAGTACGTGTGTGTGTGTGTGTGTGTGTGTGTGTGTGTGTGT